AAAACTTCTACCTTTACAAGTGTGACAGTCGCGATTAGTCATGTTAACAGTTATTCACTGTTGAATCTTGCGAATCTTAGCCCCATCTCCTTTCACCAGACCCATCTAGACAAGATGATAGCTATTCACTGGGGACTCTTTCTTTCCCCCAGCCCCTTCACTCTTGTTCACTGCTGCAATCACCCCCAGCCCCCACCAGCCCTCACTAGTATTTACCTGTCCACCTGCTGGCTGCTCTCTGCCTGTGGCTGACTTTTTCCCAACCTCTGTTCATCTTGTGGCCCTTGATCCCATCATGAACGCCCCTGTTAAAACCCCTTGAAAACTTCCCTTTGCTTCTAAAGACATAATCTTTAACGTGGCTACTTGAAAGACATTTCCTGCTCTAGCCCCATCTCCACCTATCCTGCTTAGCTAGAAGAGCTTCACTCCGTTTACCCTTTTAGAGAAACTTGCTCTTGACACTCCGTCCCTTAACTTCCAGTCCAGGTTAGATGCTTCTTTTTTTGTGCTCCCATAGCATACTGTGGGCTCTTGGCATGGCACTATAGGATCAGCATTGGACTGTGAACCACAAGGTAGGCAGTTCAAATCCACCAGCAGCTCCTTGGAAATCCTATATGGGGTTTTAATGAGTCGGAACCAACTCAACAGCACTTACCAACAACATAGAACCCTGTACTATGCCCATTCTCCACTGTGTTGTCATTATCTGCTTACTTATGTTGTGACCTCACTAAACTGTAAGCCTTATGAGGGCAGGAACAACCATGTTCACCTAGTATCCCAGCATCTAGCACATTGTCAATCACACCGTACTTACCCTGGCTATGATTTCTGAATGAAAAAGAGGACCAAATCATGAGACTATGAAGCATTTTAGAATGGAGCCAATGTTACCAGGAGGCAGCTGGGGTATATGGGTCATAGGTTTCTTTGTTTAGAAAGCTGGGTTTCAGATCTGGTTTTGCCACATTCTGCGTGACCTTGGAGTGATCACTTAGCCTTTTACTGCCTTCCTTCTGTCATCTGGGAACCAGGTATAATCATTTCTTGCCTCCCCCCACCCCAGTATTTTTCTGAAAACCAAATGATACCTGGGAGAAAGAGCGTTGCAGTGCCTTAACAGGTGCAGGGATCAGTAGAATGTGGCCTTGAACTTGATTCTCTGTGTAAATGCAGTAATTACCCTGGGGTCTAATACTGAATTGTTTGGTTGTAGCTAAGTAATAAGCCATTTCACCCTAGAAATCCTGACTCTGAAAGGGCCAGTTTCCAATCCATGAACCTTAAACTAGTCCAAATAGGTGGGAAGGAGAAGGGAAGATCTGTACTTGGTTCCCAGCATCTGCTGTATCTTAGGTGACCAGACCTGATTTAAAAGGAGAGAGCATCTTGGGATGGATGGGGTTGGGGGAGCCTTTTGTGCCTCACTCTCAGTCGGGAACTGTTGGTTCCTGCATTGCAGGGAAACACAGACAGACTGAAATATTTCCTAAAAACATGACTGTCACATAGTGTGTCCTAAGGCAGCACAGTGTTCCTTTGAAGATTACTATTTCATTGTGGAGTGCAGCTGTTAGCAGACACTGACACCCTAGCTGAGTACCCTGAGGGTCAGAACCAGCTTTCAGTGCAGCCTGGGTAACCTGTCTGCAGTGGTTTTTGGAGCTCTGATCAGTGAGATATTATGTGAAGACAGAGTGAAGAAATAGAGAAAAAATATTTATGTAATATGTCAACATTTAGTACAAGGGTTTAGGGACTACGTTGACTGCATGGCCAGCCAAACGGGAGCCCGAAATGGGTCATGGTTTTCAGAAAAAGTCGTGCCTTCTCTTTCTCGCTGGTGCCTATTTTTAAATTTCAAAGTGCTCTTGCTTTTCAAGAGAGACAGTCAGACAGTAGCTCAGTGTAACTGTCGCCGTTCCCCAGAAAATAAATGAATCGGGAGCTATAGAAGCAGCCCACATATTCTGAAGTCGTGGCTGAGCATCTGTCTTCTTTCCACTGACACCTAAACAGCTGCTGCAATCATTCTGCCGCCGTTAGGGTGCGATTTATTTGGTTGTCCCTGCAGATGGCTGTCCTGACTCCAACTTCCCAGCACAACAGAGTGTTTTGGATATGCTCTGAGTCCAATTATAGAATCGCCAGCTGGTTTCTCCAAAGAGCTTTTATTATCTAGTGCTGGAGCAAGTATAACCTTTTTACCAAACTAAGCCAGGGTGTTCTGGTTATGGAGTCCCTGAATGGTACAGTTAATGTGCTCAGCTGGAGGTTTGAATCTACCAAGAAGCCTTGGAAGAAAGACCTGGCAATCTACTTCCTTGACACCAGCCATTGGTGACTCTATGGAGCACAGTTCTACTCTAACACCCAAGGGCTTACCACGAGTCGGAATCGACTCCATGGCAACTGGTAAAACTGGTCTTCTACTTGCAGCATTAAGGTCATCTAGTTATTTATTACTAAGTTCAACAACAGAGAAGCAGAATGCACATTATATATAAACTGTAACTGCTACAGTTATGTGGATTTCCAGCCATAGAGGACAAATGTTTCTCTCTGTTTAATTCATGAGGATCTTGTTTGAGATGGGGCTGTACTGAGGAACAGAGTCGCCTTTCCTTTTAATGGTCAAATAGAATCTTTAAGTCCTTACTGACCATAGACGTTTTTTCTACTCTGCATGGGGTGATAGTAGGAATATCCCATGGCGAGTCAGTGGCCTCACTGGGAAGCTGCCCATGAAGCACTGATAGAAAGGTAGTGGGATGAAAAGATGGATGCTTCTCCTGTGTAGTCACCATCTGACTCCTGACTTGGATGAGAAAGATGCATATAAATAGGCTTGTTGCATTTCCATTTTAATTCTTGAAAGGCAATATGTGAAGATTCGAGTGATTCAGAGGGTAGACAGAAAATTAAGCTTCCGTCCTTTCCCAGTTCTACAACTTTTCACATCAGAGACAACCATGGTAGCAGTTCCTTGTGTTTCCTTCTGGAGATGGTCCATGTGTGTAACAGAATGGTGTATGGGATGGGGTTGTTTTCACCCTGTTTTCCTTTTACAGGCAAATTGCTGCACACTGTAGACACTGTACTGCTCCTTCATTTTGTTCACTTACCAGTGTATCATGGAGGCAGTTCTATATCAGCAAGTTAGACTTGTCTCTTGTACTTAAGAGATGGTAACAGATAATTAGCACTTAAGCTGTTTTCAGCCTTTCGTACTTATTGGTGTAGTGAAGGGTTTTGAATGTAGGTTGTGTGCACATGTGTGTCCTCAGGATATATTCCTGATGTCTCGCCACATTCCAACGGGACCAGCTTGCAGACTCTTGAGAGTGTCTGGCTGTCTCCGCAGGTTGTACCAATCGGTGAAGTTGCTGTACTCCATTGGCATCTTCTTTACCTACGCCCTCCAGTTCTACGTACCTGCAGAGATCATCATCCCCTTCTTTGTGTCTCGAGTTCCAGAACACTGTGGGTTAGTGGTAGATCTGTTCGTCCGCACGGTCCTGGTCTGCCTGACATGTGAGTACAGACAAGATGATTGCCTTGCTTGTTTTTCCCAAAGGACACCCAGTCCCTTGGGTTTCATGAGGGAGAGAGACATATGTACTATATGAGCAGACAGCTTGGTCTGTTGTCTCTGTTTGAGCTAAGGTAGAGCCGGATGGAAGAAAGCATCTTAAGTGAATTAATTATATCTGTGCTCTAAAGGAGGTGGAATCCTGGTGGCGCATTGCTTAAAGAGCGCTGATACCCAGAAGACCTGCATGTCAACTCATCAGTCGCTCCTCAGGAGAACAATACGGCAGTCCACTTCAGTAAATATTTTCAGCCTTGGAAACCCTATGGGGCAGTTATCCTCTGTTCTGGGTTGCGATGAGTCAGAATTCTCTTGACAGCAGTGGACTTAGTTGTTTGAGAGCACTGGTGTGGCGCTGTAGGGTAAGCACTGGACTGGTGAGCACAAGGTCGGTGGTTCAAACTCACCAGCCACTCCTTGTCAGAACAGAGTCGGCAGCACTTAACAACAACAGCAAAAGGGAGTCCCTGGGTGGTTAGCAGTTAGACTTGTGTCCACCCAGATTCCTGGTGTGATGCTGTGGGATAAAGCCCTGGATCACAAGATCGGTTTGAACCACAAAATTGGTGGTTCAAACTCATCAGCCTCCCTTTGGAAACCCTATAAAGCGTCACTATGGGCCGGACCTCTGGTAGCGTAGTGGTTACAAGTCAGGCTGCTAACCTCAGGGTCAGCAGTTGGAAACTATCAGGTGTTCCACGGGAGAAAGATGAGGCTCTCTGCTCCTGTAAAGATTTATAGCCTCGGAAACCCTATTCTGGGTCGCCATGAGTCAGAACCGGCTCCATGGCACACCACCACCACCACCATAATGGGTCGGAACCGACTGCATGACACTTAACGACAACATAGGTGTCTTTATTCCTAGCAATCTATTTCCAGAGAACAGCCATAGAGCCCTATGGAGCCTAATTCTACTCTCACGTGGGGTCACCATGAGCCTGAGTCAGCTTAACAAAAATACTGTTTTATATTCTAAAGGAAAAGGGCCGGAGTTGATAGAATAATAGAAACTACTGTGGAGATGGTGAGAATTCAGAGTAAATATGTACAATAGCTGTCCTATATATAACGTAAGTCTAAGAGAAAGCTATTTAAACCCATATCCTTAAATGAATATAAGTGCAGGTGTGTTTATTTTGTCAAATAATTGTGGTTCCAGTGTGACAGTCCATTCCTTAGATGTTATTTTTAGCCTGTTACTGTTCTAGAATTTTTTATGTTGCCTTTACTAAGTGTGTATTTTGGAAAGTTTCTGTGGCTTAATCCAAGTGTTTGATTTATGACTTCGTGTTTTATCCCAACTCCAACCCAAGGGCTGTGAGTTAAGACAGTAAGACAGGTGGATGCCACCCTGTTTTGCTTTTGGTTGAAAAGACTGGCCTCAATTTAAAAAAAGAAAGAAAAAAAATCCCAACTTCTGTGGGTTGGTAAAATAGAGAACCTCTGAATATACTGATGTATAATAATCTGGTTTTAAATTTCTAGATTGCAGCTTTCTAAACTGAAATGCTTGAATTATAAATCTCTCTCTCTTTTTTTGTTTGTTTGTTCTTTGGAGACCTTTTTGTTTACTTTATGGAGACTTCCCTGGAAATTTAAAAAAAAAAATTTTTTTTTAATTGAGTCTGAACTTCTGTCTTTGGAATAAAGATAGGGTGCTCTGATTTTTTAATTGGGCTGGAGTGGAATAAGAGGTGTGACTGTTGTCTGTCCTTTGCTCAGAGTCTGGAAAATTAGAAATGGTCACCCTATCCTTCACCCACCTGCCCAAAGAGTGAGTAGTGGACTCTGGCTCATCCCAGAACAAATCTCCCCAAGCCACTGACACTTTTTCTCCTCATTTTACTTCAGGGATAGTGGATGGGAGCCCAGTGTCCTGGACCTCTGTGTGCAAAGCACTCACTGGATCCGGAAAGTAAAGGCCTTCCTTCCACAGCCTTCTGATATGATCCTGGGCAGCACCTGCCTGGGGCTTTCTTGTAAAGAGGATAGACAGCTCAAATTGACCAGCTATGAATCTGACTTCTACTTTGGAGTGTTTATCTGGCAAAACTTGAGGCCCTCTCCTAGATGAGCCCAGTGCCCAGGCAAGCTGTGGCTCCAGGTTGGCTGGGAAGGAGGGAGCAGGACATAACCGTGCTTTTCTGGCAAAATAGTATGTCTGGACTCAATTTAATCTTGTCCTTTGCCGGCCACTCTGGGTGATTGATTCAGATATGTATGTTTCCTACATGTATGAGTTAGGTTACGGAGACTGCTTCTCGCTGCACAGTGTTTATATGTTAGCTCAGGAACCCCGTTGTTGAATACAAAAGGCATTGGAAGAAACGGAGGAGTGATTTACATAATTCATTTTTCTCACAGTGGTTCTTCCAGATAATGTAGGTCTGTCTAGGTAAAATGTTGTTTAGCTGACCACACGGTAGTCTCTTCTCCTGCCCCGTAGGGCTGGGGCAGTGATGCGAGGCCTGATTCCCTCCCTCTGCCCCACTTTCTCCTCAAGCCTGGCTTCGTATCCAGGTAGCATATGTCTTGCTTTCTGCCAGGTGTCTCTCTGTTACACCCTGCAGGAAGCATCAGTCTCTGATTCATAGACCTTGTGTTATCCTTAGATGCCTCTTGAAGTTTCAGGAGCTGCTTTTGATCTTTGAGAGCATTCAGCGTTTATTCCCTTCTCCTGTGATCTGATGTGACTTAGCATTGCATCATCGTCCTATTCAAGAAGCCAGTGCCTTCATCTTTGAGCAGTCTGGCTTCTCTTAACCATTCCTGGAGACTTTGAAGTAATTGTGGCATTCAGTATTAATGTATTTGTTTCAGTTCTTTTTGATGTTTTATCTCTCAGTTCCTTCAGATCTCTTGGCACAAGACTGATTGGTATAGGATTGTAGAGCTTTGAGGTAAATGATTGGCATCCATTATGCCCATGAATTGTAACTGCAGTTCACGCCATTGCTGTTTCTGGAGTTCCCTTGTCTATACCATCTCTCCATCTCACTGTCCATCACTAAGAAGCAGGAAGATTTGGTCCAGCCTCTTTTTATTCCACTTAGAATTCAGCTTTTTCACTGCCACTCACTCCTACCCCCAAAGATGACCATGACTAGTATCTGTCTCTTGATGCTTCATTTTGGCTTGTTGGAAAGTAGGAGAAGAGAGAGTGCGCATTTCATAGAATTCAGATTTCACATGGGACAGTGTTTACTTATGGCTCACATTTTTAGAAATGCAGATTCCCTTATGTCCAGAGCTTATGTAGAAGGACAGGCTGGAAGGAGCTGACCCCATCTGGGGGAGTCATGAGGTATAGGATGAATTGTTTCTTTGAATTCTTTGAGGCACTAATCTTTAATGATCCCCACCAATTCTCTGTAGTATTTGCCAGGGAAGGCACCTTACTTCCAGAAAATTTGGCAGTTTGAGCCCACCTAGAGGCACCTTGAAAGAAAAACCTGGTTATCTACTTCTGAAAAATCAGCCATGAGTCAAAAGTACATGTCTATCCTGACAGACATTGGATAGCCGTGAGTCAGAGTTGACTTAATGGCTACTGCTTTGGTTTGGGATTTTTAGATAGAAGAATCTTAGAACATGCAACAATAAGAATTTCAACTTATTACAAATGTGAAAACATGAAACTATAGCAGTTAAGAAGCCTGCCCCTCTTGGAACACATAGGTACAAAACGTTCCAATCAGCTAGGTTGCAGGGATGGGGAACGTCCGGCCCATGGGCTGTATGTTGTTGTTGTTGTTATGTGCTGTGGAGTCAGTTCCGACTCACAGCGACCCTGTACAGGGTTTCCGAGGCTGTAAATCTTTATGGGAGCAGACTGCCTCATCTTTCTCCCGCAGAAGTGCTGGTAGTTTCGAACTGCTGACCTTGTGGCTCGCAGCCCGATTCGTAACCACTACGCTACCAGACCTGAAAAATCATTTGGTCTGGCCTTGCCAAGGCAAAAATAGTTCCAGCCATCACATTGTTGTTGTTTAGTGCCTTCGAGTCAGTTCTGACCCATAGCGACCATGTATAGGGTTTCTGAGGAGCAGCTGGTGAGCTTAAACTGCCAACCTTGTGGTTCAAACTGACTTTGCAGTCCAGCACATTAACCCGCAGCGCCACACCAGGACTCCAGCCATCACATAGGGGTGAGTTAATTAAATGCTTGACCCAATATAGCAGACTAATTTTTAAGTTGATAATTTTGTATGGCCCACAAATGATGTTATCAGTTTTAGCAGAGAAAAGGTTCTTCACCCCTGCTTTAGAGAGCATGAAGCTTCCGGTTTAAGCCAAGTGACTTCTCAACACCCTTTGGCCTTTCACACATCCCAGTCTTGGCAACTACAATGCAGAAGTGCAGCTTCAAGTCCTAGTTGTGTATCAGTGGGCCCCCCTAACAATCCTCCCTGGGCCTCAGTTACTTCATCTCTGAAATATGAACGGTATCTGGTCCCCAAAGCTTCTCTCAGTTCCTTAATTCTCTAATTCTATGAAGTTACTTTGAGTCTGATTTTAGATGTATACAAAAATATTGCTCTGAAAAAGAAAGTGTGGGGAAAAAAAGAAAGTTACTATTCAATCAGTCTGGGCGGAGCTGATGAAAGGAGATACAGATGGGTAACTCGTGATACTGTAGTGAATAATGCTTATCAGGATGGACTATGAGGGTTGGAAATGCAAAGGTAGAAGTTTTGTAACAAGGAAGGGAGTGATTAATTCTCCAGGATAGGAGCGGAGGCCTCTGGGACCATCAACAGAGAAGAGCCGAGAGCGGGACCCTACCCAGAGAAACAGAGATGCCTGAGATAGAGACAGAGATGATTACGTGGAATGATGAAGCGACTGGGGACTTTGGACCCAGAGAGGGAAAGGGACTGTGGGCCGAAAACTGGGGGGAGAAGGGGGAAGTGTAGGGGGCGGGTTTCTGGGATATACCCTTTGGATGGTTGAGGATGCATGGAGGGGATTTGGAACCATGGCAATGAGATGATATACGATGGAATGAATGTAAAACTAAAGTTCTCCCATGTAAACTATCATATAATTCACAATAAAACATTAAAAAAAAAAAAACACATTTGAGATTTAAAGAAGCAATGGCCTGTAACCCATTGGTTTAACAAAATGTAAATAGTTTTTCATTTTACGTTCTATGTCTGAATTCTTGATGGTACATTTAAAAAATAGTTGCCACTATATAATACACATAACTTTGTCTTTTGCACGTTATTTAATATTATATTATGAATATACTTACCTTTCATAAATATTTGCACAGCGACATGATATTCCATTTTATTGCTGGGTCATATTTACTAAAAGGAGCTCTGGTAGCGTAGTGGTTACGAATCGGGCTTCAAACCACTAGGTAGGCAGTTCGAAACTACCAGCTGTACCGTGGGAGAAAGAGGAGGCTTTCTACTCCTGTAAAGATTCACAGCCTCGGAAACCCTGTACAGGGTCGCTATGAGTCGGAACCAACTCCACGGCAAACAACACCAACATATTTACTAAACTACTTCTTTAGTGTTAGACATGTAAATTGTTTCCCTTGCTTTTGTATTACTTTGTTGTACCCAAAACCAAACCCATTTCCATAACTGGCCCCATAAGGTTCCTATCTAATCTTTCAAGTTATTGGTAGTTTGGTTCCAGAAAGATAGTTCTTGAATGAGTGATTACTCAAGGCAGACAATTTTTTTACTGGTTAAACTAAACAGCACATAACAACACCAAAGTTAATCTGTTGTTTGGTTTTAAGAAGACTTCAGGGTATATTTTTGGTTTAAAGATTATTACAGGGCAGTAGTTTCAAGAATCATCCAACTTCCATGGGTCCAGAAAACCTGTTGTTGTTAGGTGCCATTGAGTCAGTTCTGACTTCTAGCAACCCTATGCATAACAGAATGAAACACTGTCCAGTCCTATGCTATCCTCACAATTATTGCTACATTTGAGCCCATTGCTGCTGTAGTCTGTGACAGGTAAACATTCTGTTCTGTATTTTCCCCCTTTTGATCAAGATTCTGCTATAAAATCTTTGATCCAAGTGTTAAGTAGTGATGTTTATTGGCTGTGTTCTTTACGGCAGCAGATCTCCAGACCTTTGTTTTGTGGCATTGCTGGGTGGGTTCAAACTGCCAACCTTATTTAGTTATGTTGTTGTTGTTGTTGTTAAGTGCCCATAGCAACCCTGTATAGGGTTTCCAAGGAACAGCTGGTGAGCTTGAACCGCTAACCTTGCAGTTCAAATGGCTTTGCAGTCTGGTGCATTAACCCACAGCGCCACACCAGGGCTTCTACCTAAATGAAGAACTCCTGGTAGGGCACTGAAAGGATAAACACTGGACTGCTAACCACATGGCTGGTGGTTCAAACCCAATAGCTGCTCCTTGTAAATCCTATACGGGTCGCTATAAGTCTGAACCGACATGGTGGTACTTTAACAATATCCTAAATGAAATGATCTAGTCTTAAACTACTGCTAATTTTAAAGGCAGACTTATAGATGCTGAAGAGTAATATGGGGGGGAGGGGGGTCTTTACCAGCATCTCTGGTGGCATAGTGCCTGACTGCTAACCAAAAGGTTGGCAGTTCAAACCAACCAGCTGCTCTGTGGGAGAAAGATATGGCTGTCTGCTTCTGAGAAGATTTACCATTTTGGAAACCTTCTGGGAGCAGTTCTACTCTGCCCTATAGGGTGTCTCTGAATCAGAATCAAATCGATGAAAGTGAGATTTTTTTTTTTTTAGTGTTTACCAGCATCCATCATAATGAAACAGTAGAAAGAGCTTCCGGACACAGGAGCTATCAATTTCCAAGTATTTCTGTAAATGTATGTTTGTTCTTTTAATTGATTTGTGTTTCTCGCTGCATAATTCAACTCCTTCTGTTGCTGGTCCAAAACCACAGGCTCCAGATTTCCTCTGAACATGACCGTTTACCTCCTGTTACTTCACAGTTGTTACAAGATGGTATTTTTTAGTGTCTCTTCACCCAAAGGGATAGTGTGTTGTAATAACCTTAGAGCTCTCTTGATTACCACAGCTAAGCCTCTGCAGAGCCTCTGTAACTGCTTTTTGGGAATACCTGACTTCCTTTTCCTGCTGGGGCTTTGGGGGATGGGGGAACATAGGGAATGCTGGGAGAAGGTATGCCTAGATGTCTGTTTCCTGAAATCTTTACCTCTTGATTTTCTCTTTCTAGGGGACTTGAATGCACAGACTATATAGGCGTTTAGTTCTAGAAGTGTCTTTGCTGCCTCCATATCTCATGAAGAAAAGTAGTTGACTCCTGCTTCTAGATTTAAAGCTATTTGCATTGTGGCAAAACAGCCCTGCCTTTAGACCCTTGTTGTTGTTAAGTGCTGTGGAGTTGATTCCAACCTATAGCGACCTTGAATAGGGTTTCCAAAAGAACTCTGGTAGCATAGTGGTTACGAATTGGGCTGTGAACCTAAAGGTCAGCAGTTTGAAACTACCAGCTGCTCCGCCGGAGAAAGATGAGGCGTTCTGCTCCCGTAAAGATTTGTAGCCTCGGAAACCCTGTACAGGGTCGCTATGAGTCAGAACAACTCCATGGCACAACAACAGCACAACATAGGGTTTCCAAGGAGCAGCTGGTGAGCTTGAACCGCCGACCTTGCAGTTCAAATGGCTTTGCAGTCTGGCACATTAACCCAGGGCTGTTTATACTCATTGGTTGGGCCTCTTCGCCTCTTCCCACTGGATTAGTGGGAGGTGTATTTTTCTTGCTGCTTCCCTGCCTTGCCTTTCTCCACTCCCCGCTTATTTTAGGGTGCAGTTGTAGTATTTGGCTCTTCTAGATTGGAAGAGATGCTTCTTTTGCAGCCCTGTGGTCCTGGCTGTAAGAGAAAAGTTTGCCTCTTTTTGAAGTTTCACTAAGGAAATCTGTTTTACCCACACTCACCATGGTTATCCTTTGAATTAGCCACAAGGCTCAGCTTTAGATTGCTGTTAAATTTTCATGATGGGAAGTGGAAGATCTCGGTCTGCTTTGAATAAAGCTTCTGATCCAACAAGCTTCTGTTGTTGTTTCCACTTAACTCAGAATGGAACATGTCTCTGCACTTAAGCCCAACTGCAAAGTGCCCATGTGTCCTCCCCCTTAATGGGGAAGATGGCCAACTTGCAGGGCAGGGAGGGGCCAGCAGGTTTTCTGCAGTGCTCATTTCCTGTGATAAAAAATGATTTCCTCTAATGAGCTGGGCTGAGCATCTGTGGTGGCCATTACCTGGTAGACACACACTCTGTTTAACAGCCCCAAACCTGGGGGACTAGAAACTACCCAAGGGGATCTCATCCTCCCTCTGTGCCTCTACTGGAGCAGCCTGGCTTCATGATGTGGCAGAGCTGCATGAGATTTCAGGGTTTGTCTAGTGACTACGTGGTGAGGGGTTTGCCTTGGGCCCCTTGTTACAGCGCAAGAACTGCTGGTGATGGGAGCTAACGTTTATGAAGCACCTGTTACATTCCTGGTCCTCTGAACGCTTTGTGTGAGTTTGCTCATTTGTGCATCTCTATGCGTCAGTCATGGAATGGAGTCTGGGATGTGGTGGAGCTGCCTCTCCAGCACTCATTTCCCAGAATGACTGCCTCAGTGTCCAACTGATGCTCCATCCCTGCACCATCACTGAGGCTGACATGGAACCCAGAGAGGGCGAGTTTCTTAGCCCAGGTCACACAGCAGATCAGTTCTTGTTCAGCATTAGATTATCCATAATAAAGATGCCATTTTGTCATCAGTCTACAAACTCTGAATTAGAAGTAGCTAAGGAGCCCTGGTGTGACATTGTAGGTTAATGTACTGAACTACAAAGTCTTTTGAACTGCAAGGTCGGCAGTTCAAGCTCACCAGCGGCTCCTCAGAAACCCTATGCAGGGTCGCTATGGGTTGGAACCAACTCGACGGCACTTAACAACAAGAAGGACTAGAATAGACTGTTTTCTCATGGAATAAGTTAAAAGCCATGTTTTCTCATGGAATAATTTAAAAGCCAACGTGTTGGTGGGGTGAGGGGGGTTGTATACTTTTGGTTAACTTTCCAAAAATTTCTAGAACACAATTATCATTACAATTGATTAGTAGAAAAAGGAAAGATGAAGAGATTGTGCTAGCATGAAAACAGGTGGCGGAGGCAGATCTAAGGCTCCATATGCGTCTGCCATGTTGTTATCAGGCTTTGAAACTACTTTCTGATTTCCTCTGACAAAGCAGGAGGAGAGCAGGACTGATTGTATACTAGATTGCTAGCCAAGTGATTGCGGTACATCTCAGGGTAAACAACCACGAATACCTAACTCCCCTGGTTAGTCACAGAAAACTTCTTCCTGCTAATTTGCCTTACAAGTGTGAGCTGGTGCCATCATGTATCGAATTTTAGAGAGCTCTCTTTTCTATAGGGTGCACAAATGCAGATTTGCTCAACAAACCTGTCCTCTCTCCCTGCAGGCGTCTTGGCCATCCTCATCCCCCGCCTGGACCTGGTCATCTCCCTGGTGGGCTCCGTGAGCAGCAGCGCCCTGGCCCTCATCATCCCGCCCCTCCTGGAGATCACCACCTACTACTCAGAGGGCATGAGCCCCCTAACCATCGTCAAGGATGCCCTCATTAGCATCCTGGGCTTCATGGGCTTTGTGGTGGGGACCTACCAGGCCATCCACGAGCTGATCCAGCCAAACGATTCCATTGTCATCAACTCCACCAGTGCCTTTATATAGGATCTTGGTACAGCGTCTGCACTGGCCACCCCCACCTTTGTGTGTCCCCCCAGTGCCTGTCCTCAGAGCCTCAGGTAAACGCCAGGCTCTGGGGAAAGGCAGGGTTACTGTCTGGGAACCCTCAACCTGGTACCTGGTATGCTGGGCCACATAGGCTGAGGGTGTGGAGGAGGAGTGAGGAGCTGATCACGGGAGGTACCACTGTTCTTTCTACTTGTTTTAGCCCAGAACGTCTCAGCTCTTTCCCTCATCGTGCCTCCTCCCTTCTGACCACATCCCCCAAATCATTCCAGTCGCACACTGCTCACTTTAAGAAACATATGCCCACACCTCATGTTTTCTCCCTTCCTTGGTAGTCAGGCTTAGATTCTATACGTGGGACCGCCCCGTCTTCTTCACCTAAGAAAGGTCTAACCCTTCCTTAGCTCTCTCCCAAATTTTTTACCTCAATATTCTTTTCCCAGTTCACTCTCCAGGGAGTGGTTAGGCCTACCAACTAGTTTCAAACCAGCGCCCCCAATGCTGGAGTTTTTCATCTGAACTCTCTATGGCTTGATGTGACCCCCTAGGGCAGCACTTTCTCTTCTCAGAGTCCCTCAGTGTGGGTCACAATACTGTTGTATTCTTAGCTGCTTTAGCTCTTAAAAAGATATGAAGTGCTGCCTAACTGGAGAATATTTATATTTTCTTTTAAATGAGCTCTGTGTTTTTAGACTCTTATCTCCCGGTCTGGGGTTATGATGCATTGTTTCTTCCTCAATAATCTTTTACTCAGCAGCTCCTACTAAAAAGACCATTACTCTAGGAAATCTCTGCTTTTTAGATTTTGTGTACTCGTGGCTGGGTACCTAGTAGATTCAAATCAGGACTAATCTCAATGGTGTATCTCTGTGAGGAGGCATGGGTTTTCACAACCTGGCAAGTATCAAAGCCTGAGAAGCTATCAAAGGACTCAGGAAGTATTTGCAGATACACTAGGTGAATGGACAGGGTAGCCAGACTGGATGTGTTTCTGTCTGCCACAGGAAGCTTAGAAAATCTTTGTGGTTTGTTCTGGCCTGTTAGCAGCCTGCACCCTTGACAAGATAAAGGGATAGCCGAGTTCCATTGCTGGCCTGGTGGCAGGGCACCCCCTCTATTGCCCTGGACGAGCAGCTGAGGTCAGTGTGCACAGTGTGAAGTTGAGTTCCTAGCGTGGGCAGCCACTGGCCTGACACTACACGCGGTGATTGTCTGCAGCCAGTCCAGCTGGGGCTACACCTGGGCGCCGCAGGGCCTAGAAGGAAACACTTGACTGGGACACTTGTTCCCTGCGTTTGAAACACTAATTGTGATGCCTGCCCACCTCTCACTCCGCCCCCACAGGCCTCCATGAGCCTCAGAAATGGATTTGGGGTGGCTCACCTCAGTGTCACCGTTCAGATTTGGGAACAAATTCAGAAAAGGCAGAAGAAGGTGCCTTGCTTTGAGCTGTCTCTTCTTCCCGCTTGGTGTGAGAAGCATTTCAGAAGGGCATTCATGCACTCTTCAGCTGTGTGTGGCCTTGTGGCCTTGCCTCAGACCCTAATATCTCCAGGTTCTTTCTTACCTAGTGATACAATTCTCCCTGGAAGTTGGCTCATGGAGAGAAATAAATTCATCAGGGTTCTGCTTTTTTGTCTTTGTGCTCCACCAGGCTTGTAAGGGATGTGATCTGCCCAAGTGGCCTTAGCTACTGCTTCATCTTCTTATCCAAAGCCAATAGAGCTGGCCTCTAGGTGACAGAGCAGAAAAAGTGAACTCTCTCATGTGCACCAACTCTTAACCTACCCAGTAGTTGATTAAGTTAGAAAGGCTTGATCATCAGTGACTTGTTCTTCCTTGGGAGAATGACACATTTCACCCCCAGCCTCTCTGGTTCGGTCACTAAAGAGTACTTACCACTCTAGTTGGAGTGAATAGACCTCTGGCTCAGATGTTATCACAGTGGACTTAATGGTATCTCTTGGTGGCAAGCCAGGACCCAGCAACTCAGCTGTTTGCCTGGCAGCCTTCCCAGAGCAAACCTGAGAGCTGTTACCAGTAAGAAGGTGTGTGCTCTAGGAGGGGGTCAGACTTGTGTGTGCTCAGGGAGCTGCTAGAGACAGAGCTGTCCTGGTGAGTTCTGAGATTGGCAACTTGGGCCGCAGAACTGTGGTTCTATCCAGCCCTTAGCTAAAAGCACCCTGTCACTTTAAGGCATCTGGCCCAGAGGACGTGGTGAGGAAAGAAACTGACTCTAGCTTGGGGCATCTGGGGGCTAATTTGGGATGCCCCATGACCATTTGGACCTCTTTCATGTGCTGCTACAGCTTTGATAACCTGACTGCATGGTAGCTTCAGACGAGCCAGGAAAGGTCACTCTAGGCGGTGGGCCTTCTTGGCTGGACAGGTGTAAAGTAAAGTCAACCTGCAGAAAATGGAAGGAGAGGAAGTCATTCCCCCTGGGTGCTGCCCTCTGGGCCAGCCCAGGATGACTTCTGTGTGCTAGGATGCTTCAGGCAGAGAATCCTCCGTCGGTTCTTCCCATTCCTACATAGAACCAAGCTTCCCAGTCTTTCCCTGCACCCTGGCTCTGGTTCCTGCTCCAAAGCAAGTAGCATGAGTCTGATCAAGAAGCAACAGAGCGAAGGCTTTCTGAAGTGTGAGACTGGATCTCCTGGCCCAAAGGCAAACCATGGGTGTTCTAGTTGGACACTGTTAGTTTCTGTAGCCCTCCCCTAGCCCCTTGTTGGTTCTCTCATCCAAACACCAATGTTGGGAGCACATTTCCAGCTCTCCATCGTCAATGTACTTTTTCAGTACAGAGATTTTCCAGGAAGAGCATGTCCCCGTGTCTTTCAGTTCATTCTGCCTAGGAGCTATGGCCAGTCTGCTTAGGAGCTATGGCCAGTCATCAATGGCATTATTTATGTTGTCTTGCTGTCCAGCTGCTAACCACCTTCTGTGGATGTGAGTGTGAACATGTCTTGGCTTCATCACCCTCTCCTGTGCCTCCACCTCCTCAATCGTATTCACTAGCTGCTGGTCCTTCTCCACTCTCTGTCCCCAACAAAAAAAGTACAGTTTTATCTGTAGCTTTAAAATGTTGATCTTGAGCAACTGTCACTTCCCCTCTCCCTCTTCTCTCTTTTTTCTCTCCAAATTGCTTCCTTCTGAAGTTGTAGCATGCTATCTGTGCTTCACACCACACGTTGTGTTCTCCATGCTCTTTGGAAGAGTTTGTTTGTTTACAGCTCTCTCTGCTCACTGCTCACAACACAAGGGTGGGCTTTATTTGAAGCTGGTCAGATGAAAAGGCAGGCCTCAGCATCTGCCTCCAGTCTCATCACAATGCTGCTTCCTGGCCGTGGAGACACTTAACTAAGTATGCATGGCAGGATTTGGTGATGAGGGAGCTCTGCTCTAAGTCAGCCTTAGAATCTAATTTTCCAAATGTACCTTATAGATCTTCAAGAGCATTCGGGTCAAAGAGGGTGTGGTTTGCCTTGGAAATCATAGTCAAAGCTTTTAGGTAATTAGGACTGTTGGTTGCTAGGCTGTGTGTACAGTATCAGCCCGTTACATCTCTTTCCTGTCATTTGTGCCACTGAGACAGTCATTGCCTGGTTGGAGGACAGAAATGGTGCTGATACAAGAATACCAGGCTAAGTGGGGGTGGGGAGTAGGGAAGGGTGACTGTTTGAAACCATGTTCTTGTGTTTAAATCAGGATGATGCTGGGGAAGATGGTTTCTTTTAGTGAACAATAAAATCAGGGTGACTCTGTTGTAAAACCTCTCAATGAAGGTGTGAGTGGGATGAATCAGAAATACCACTACGGAGAAGGTCATGGGAACCAGACTGTCCTGTGTATGTTATGTGCCTGTGTAGATGTGTTCCCCCAGCACAGCATGTGGATTGTGCAAGAGCGCTTCCAAGATGGCGCTCTGGGTTCTGCACGTGTTTCCCTTTTCAATAAATGGACTTTGTTGTGTTTTTATTTTTGAGAGGCTGTGATCTGGCTTCGTGTTTTCATACCCTTCTTGCATCACTGAGATCCCTTTACTAGATGTTAAGTTAAAATGTTTCTTACTTGCTTCATAGGACTCATTTGAGGGAGGAGTGCCAACAATAGTACCAGCCTTGGAATGGAGGAGTACTCAAGGAAGGAAGGCCATGCAGAGGGGGAGCCCTACCTTTCCCCTCCTTGACCTGCATGAGGCCCCCTTGGTATAGCTGGCTGCACAACTTCGCCAGGCTGAAGCCATTTCTTTGGTGGTTTATATGTGTTATGGGGAAACAAGTCAGCGAACCTGGGACGTTCCTTATGGGGGGCATTGGGTCGTCTTTGAGCCCCAAGCAAATTTAAGCCCATGCCAAAGATGCTGAAAATTAGGATAAGGAGAGGGGCCTACTACACTGGTTGGCTGCACCCTATAGGGAGTTGCATCCTACAGGGATTGTAGGAGCCATGGAAGAGACATCTGGGGGACTCTCTCTTGTCCCACTAACTGGCATCTCGGTTTTGTAACCCAGGCTGGGGACAACCAGAACCAGGGCTAGCAGTATGTCTAACATTTAAGTGGTCCTTGGGTTGTCAGCCAAGTAGCTGTGGAAGGGCTGAGCCCCCAGCAGATCCTGAAAACTGCCCGAACATTCTTGGGGCCGCCAAACTCACCAACAGCCACCTCTTTTCCTCTAGCGCATGCACGCGCACACATTTGGAGCCTACCTCACCACTCCTTGCAACCCCACCCTGTCTCCTCCCTCCTTTATTCCCGCACCCAGTCTGTAGCCTCCCAAGTCTCAGGAGGAGCCCAAACCTGCCACCACCTGTCTCCATTTAAGTGTCTGATGCTCCGCACCTCACAAGGGAGTATGGTGCTTGCTTCCTTTTGCATGCAGTTTATATTAGTGGAGCCTCTTGCAAAAAGAACAGAAAAGAGGAAAACACAGCAGTGAAAGAAAAGATCCGTGATCTGTCGTCTACTAGATACATACTGGGGTAGAGAAGCTACACACAGATTTTCCAGAGTCCTCTGCTCCCATTTTTTAGGAAAGAACAATTATCAACACTCTTGCCCCCCAGCATTTTAGCAAGGGAGGACAAGATCAAATAAAGCAAATGATCATAAAAGCAAGCCAGAGTC